AAGTAAAAGTAAGTACTTCTTTTTGTTCCGCTTATTACTAAAAAAATTGTATATACAGAACAGTAACAGGGCCACTCACTAGTGCATTCTTATGACGAAATAAATAAATTAAATTTAAAGAAAAAGACCTGAACACAAAGATTACTTAAATAATTAGGTCAGATAAACACAGAAAGCAAAGCCTGTAAATATATTCTAATTAGGCAAATAAAAATTCACACAGAGGTGAAAAACAGCTAAATGAGAAAGCAGAGATCGGAATTCTCCTTTACACGTGAGAAATATTGCAGATTGTTAAAAGAGCTTTCAAAGTTTTAAGCAGTAATTACCAAGTAGAAAGCTCAAAAACATTAAAACAATCTTAACCCTACTACTTCTCATCCATTCATAGCCTCCTATCTATATATCTGTACAAGGGCATAGAAAAGGTACTTTTACTGCATTCTAAAAATTCATTAAAATATATTTTCCAGAAAATTCCAAAATGCTGCCAAGATGACAAGAAATTGCCAAACGTTGTTCATGTCTGCCAAAAGTTTTCTGTTTACATCTACAGTTCCACTTGAGCTATCTTTACAATTTCAACATCAATCAACTGCAAACTTAAATTACAAAGTATGATTCTATAGTATTAACTAGCATCCACTGATATATTACTAATAATCTATTGGCACCTTTTGGTAACTGGAATGTACTTTTAAGGTTTTAAGTTATTTTCAATTCTCTGGGATACTGTTCGGCAATCAAATTCAAAACTGCATCAAACAGATGGTTATTCTTCTGAGGTCTCTGTCTCCATATGAGCTCTGCTATGTAAGAAGTGAAAGTGATGCCAAAATGCACCCCAATGCTTCTTTTTTCTCAGTTTTGCTGATATCCGTACTTTCTGTTGCCCCTACTACTCTTTTATTTAGGATCAATAAAATTATATTTAAAATATCCTCTGAAGAACAAAAAACCACATTTTTAAGTTCTTTTGTACTATATCTGTTGCTCATTTTCAAAAATTAAAAAAGCGTGCAGGGTTAGCATAAAGTTAAAAACGAAATAAAATCTTCTAGATTTACATGCCAGAACCACCTATAAACATTAGTAAAATTAGAAGCTTTATTAAAAATAGGAATAAAATGTACTTTAGTAAAAATATGAGCTTTTACAGACAACCTATCTGCAAAAGCTCCTATTTTACTAATGTTTAAATGTGGTTTAATTTTTAAACCTAGAATATTTTACTTTGTTTCTAACTGTTGCCTGGCATATTTAATAAATGCATGATGCAAAATGCAATAAAAATATACACTGGACAAACAAAAACTATCAAGGACTTTATGCAAGTAAGAGTTACAAAAAATGACACAACACAGATTTGCCTTTCCTCTAATTAGCCTGAAGTTGGCAATGAAATGAAAAAATGAAGCCATTCCTTGGGGGGGGGGAAGAAAGAGCAAAATATAAACAAAATGTACCTTTTCACAAGATTTAAGATTTTATGTTTTCAGAATTATTCATTCCTTTTAGAGGTGGTTACCATAAAGAGGGTTGCCACTCAGACAGAAGAATGAAATTCCCTGACCTTTCCAGGTGTGCTTTAAGAAAATTCCAGTGTATCCGTGTAGAGCGGGTTGGCTGTGCTGAGGGGTAAATTAATTATGGTGCTACTTGAAAACACGAAATTTGGCAATTACATATGACTTATCCCCAAAGCAAGAGTATTATAACTATAATAGTTGTTTTCTCCACTGAAGTTTGATATTAGAATCTGGCCAATCTGGATTAAAACATGTGTTTTTTCCAGACATTGTGCAACTAAACGAAAAAAAGAAATCTCTTTGATGATATTTTAAAATAAATTCAGGTATTTTATATTCATTTAGCAGCATACATAAGCAAAAAATATGTGCATTAAATTTCATGATGGTATGTCATCATACTGCTAGACTTAGTTTCAGGAGTATGCCGGAGAAAATTGCCCGAAATTTGAAAGTATTATTAACTAAAAATAAATAAATTTAGAAGAAAGAAGCCACATTAAATGATACAAATTACATTAAAATAAAGTTAATTACTTAAAGCATTAAAACTGAATTACAATAATGAATGATATTTTGGCAAATATTAAATAATTAGCCTAGATGACCGATTAATACTTTTTATTTTACTGCAAAATGATGAATAAGGCATTTATTAAAAAAAAAAAAAAGTTTAAAAGATTTTAGAGTAAAATCCTAATACGGTACAGCCTTGGCATGATATTGAAAACTGTCGTTAACACCTAAATGTACCATTTAGTGCTCATCATAAATGTCTGGTTTACTGCTCATCATAATGTTGCCAAATCCTATGTGCACCATATACTAGGATTAAACTGATTTTGTTTCATACAAGAATACATACAACATGCACTGCACACATGCATCAAATCTCTTGATTCTCGAGGTTAATGGAAACCAAAGTTGCTGAAACTTGCTTTGCCTTTCTAAAAGACAATCTGATTGGAGCTGTGAAAATTAGCTCTATGCCAGTTGCTTGAATAATGCTCACACAATACATAATTCGCCAAGAAGGCAAACGCTTCCAACGTTCGCATAAAAATTACTTTTTGAGGAGATTGTGGTATGAAATTCCTAGACATTTCCAAATGACTGAATTATTTTAATTTCCTGACTTTTTTAGTCAATTTTTGAATTCCCCGACTTTTCCTCTTTTTTTCAGGTTTCCCAGGTAGCGTGGCAACCCTTCATAATAGTACTTACTGTATTTTCTTAAATGAGCTTCAATTAATGTGGTTATCTTACAAAGGTGATAATTAATGCTTATTTATGTTCCTAGAAATATTAACTCCTTTCAAAGATGGATGCCGCAAAGATTCACTGCAATTTTTTTAATGAAAATCACATATTTATGACTAATTGTTCAAGATATATATACAGTCAAAAGTCTTTAATCCGGAATGATCTATAATATGGACCTCAATGCTACAAACTTTCTGCGTATGCGTAAACGCATTATGCATTTACACATGCGCATAAAATGTTTACGCATGTGCGTTTAATGTATAACGGACGGTATAAGCTAAGCTAAAATTATCTAATTATCTATTTCAGTTAATGTTGCAGATTGCGTTGTTCCTTAATCTTCTAATTGGATCCGGCTTACTATTTTTTGCAGACTGTTAGAGAAATTTTATAAAAGTAAGCTTGAACTTTCAATTATGTCAAAAAGAATTTCTGATTCTGGAGCTGCCAAAGGATCTACAAAGCAAAAGCATGCTTCGATGTCCATCAAACAAAAAGTGGAATTGCTGCAAAAAATGGATAAAGGCATATCCTTTGTTTCTCTAACCATTCCAAAATTAGTTTATCAATTTCACGCTGCTCTGTGGGGGGAAACTTCGCGGCGCGCAATGAACTGGAAGAATTAGCAATAGAAACTCCCTAAGATTATATACTGTGCAGACATTGAAGACAAAAGTTTTAAACTTGTAAACATAAACTTAACCAATTTATTAACAATATATATATAAATAAAAATACAATAAATAAATTTAATCAAACCAGAAACTTAAAGAGTGCAACATTATTATTGTCAAATTACACTTAGTTGAGTATTCATTAACCCCAAGCGTTTTTCCTTTAAAGAATATTACACTGTTAATGATACAGCAAATATTTTACCTGATCTTTGAATACTGGCATTCAATACGCGAATAATATATCACAGAACAAAAACAACACAGTTAATATGAAATTCACTTCACTATCAATAAGTCCATGCTTTTTGGCCAAGAAGGCACCTGAAAAATTAAACTAAATCCTTGAGTGCACTTAAACCGGCAAAAGCCGCTCACTGTAGTTACACATGAGAAATCACAGCTTGGAAAAAAATCGCCACTAGTCCTGGAAAAACACTTGTATTGAAGATGCTGCCTTTATGAAAACAGGATGCTGCCCATGGCAGTTGCTCACCGGAAGTCACACTTGAGATCTATCACTGTCGAACTGTAGAAACAGGATGCCATCCATGGCAGTCGCTCACATCGTAGCCACCTTGCAGAATCCAGGAAAAATCATCTCGGACTGGAACCACGGCACTTATTGCTGGACGGGATGCATCGCAATATTGTCTTCCAATGGGCACTGGAACGGCACACCAAGGAGCAATGAAACAGGAAGCAGAAGGAATAAGGCGATCTGATCCGAACAATTACGTAACATCAAGTTTCGTTTTTGCATCTTAATTAGGCTGGAACAGTCCATTCTTAATACAAACAGTGGCAGTGAAAAAGAAATAGAAGTAATTTCTATATATCTTTAAGAACAAAACCTTATGTAAAAGTTAGAATTATTTCAAGGAAGGGAGATAATGCAGAAAAAGGGTTATAATAGGTCATATTTTCCAACAGTCAGCACTATCCTTATCTTCAGGGCAGATGATTTAGTTTATTCGGCTTATAATTCCTTACTAATTGTAGTATTTCATCTCGATGTACTCCGTCTTTGATATGATTTAAATAAAATTCCTCGTCATTATAAATATCACGAATACACATCAAATAGTTTTCTGGTTGCAGTTTTCTAATTTCGACTATGGGTAATGTATGCGTTACGCATGCGCGCTTAAAAGAAATGTTTAATAAAGTAAACAAATAAATATTAAGATTTTTTTTTGTAAATTTTAATACCCTTTAGATCATAATTGCTCTTTATTTCATAAATTACTGTTTCACATTTTGAATTTTATAATTTCTGCATGCCATTTTACCAGATTTAAACTGATGATCTATAATCTGGAAAAACCAATAATCCCGAATCACCGAAGTCCAGATTAAAGACTTTTGACTGTATATACTTAGTTCCATATTTTTTCTAACCAAACCATGTTTATTTACAAACACATATTTACATAATTATTATAAGCTATTAACTGAATGTTTCAAGTTGGAAAAAAAGGATATATATATTACCAATAAATATTTAATTCAGAGAATGAACAATAGTTACCATTTTTAATATGTCATCTGCATGCAGTAAGTAAAGCATGGCTTGCAAATGTTGTTGAATATCACAGGCTAAAAAGATTTTTATAAAACTGTAAGGCATAAAATACTATATTACAAGCATATTTAAAGACATTACACACATATGATATAATAATGACAAAGTTATAAAAAAGACATGTTTTGAAAAATGTGCATCACTTCATTTACTTAACTTTTGGATCTGATTATGAAGTGCTTTAGGCAGAATTTATAATCTGCATAACTGCTGCTCGCTTTAATTTTGTTCTTATAACCTGCTATTCATTAGGAAGATAAATAAAGCTTTCGCTGAAAATAAGACCTAATATGCTTTTTCAGGATGTTTGTGATGCAAGCCCTATTCCACAAATAAGCTACCATTAAAATTGTCAATAGAAAGATGCCAGACTTATTGCTGAATGACCAAGTGGAGGTCAGACACAACATGCATGCACAGCTGATAGCAAATGGACAAAGTTATGACTAATTAGAAATTTCTTTTCTTCATTCAGTATGTGATGTGTTTGTAATAGACACACTTAATGCACTTGTATGAATTAAATAAATGTTTCTTTAATTTTGCGCCTGCAGTTTTTTGTAGTTTTTATGCAATATATCATTCTTAACAATTTTTGCTGACATTACAAGTCTTGTAAATTTTGAATTAACACTTGATTTAACAATATTTTAAAGAAAATAATATTTTGATCCACAAAGAAGATGAATGCAAAAAGAATAAGTTATCCTATGGAATAACAATAGAAAAAAAAAAAAGAAAGAAAGAAGAAAGGTTATAAAATCTGATGTATACACCACATGACTTCCTTGTACGAAATATTAAATTACACTCATGTTTTGCTGATCAATCATTTTTAAAGCAAAAAATGCACAGTTTACCAACATATTAGAATAATAATAAAAAAAACTGAGCTTACTGTGCCAAGTAACAGAATGGGTATATATACATATATATACATACATTTATCTATTTTTGGTTCATATGACTGCAGCCAAAATGTTGCACAAGTATATATTATAGCAAATTATTATATGTACAAAATTTCAATGTTCTGAGGGTACTTGTTTTTGATTTATGTGAGATACATACATACATATATACGTATGTAAAAAATGTCACAAAAAAAATCTCTTCCGAGTCCATTTAAAATGCTTTTTTGCAACTGTTTTAGTAAAAAGAGTCCTTTATTTTGTCCTTACCTACAGATGCCATGCAAAAACATTGTTAAATTCCATTCAATCATGGCCAAATAGATATTTCTGTTGAAATATGATATTGGAAAATTTTCGAAATTGCAATATTTCTTTTACTACGCACAAAGAAGTAAAAAGAAAAGAAACATGGAAGACTTCTGGGGGGGGGGACTTTACAACTTTCTAAAAGCAGAAAAAACTGGATCTTTGAATGGTCTAAATATGGTGAAGAGAATGCAATAACCTCACTCAAAGGTGAATGAACAAAATACCAAGCAACACATGTGTGAGTCATGTAGCTTATGTTTTCTCTCACCTACTTGCTAACCATTATTACATGAATTGGATCATTTGTAAAAGGGATTGATAACAAAAGAGCAAATGTTTTGTTGCTCACAGTAAGCATAATAGTCAAGCATTTCCCTTTCACCGGCAACCACCTTGTGAGATATAATCCTCAATATAATTCAAAATACTGCAGCTCTGAATGGATGGCTTTTTTCAGCAATATGAATTGTCTCTAGGAAGACTGACAACAGTGTTCAAGTTGGAAGACGGTCATTAAATGCACCATGCACTAATATTTTAATCTTTTGCTGATGCATTATTGTTTCTAAATACCAGTTCTCTAGCAGGTCTGGTACGATATACTGTAATACTTATGGATCAAGTATCTCAAAGGGCAATTGCTCAGAGAAGTGTCTTGTCAATCTCTATCCCCTCCACTGATTACAAAAGCAAATGTGTTATCTGTATTTTGACAATTTATCTGGATGAAAAGAAAGCCCTACCTCCAATCAGCACTAATGGAAATAAAGGTAAGATTGAATGTGTTTCAGACATTTATGTTCCTGAAAATGAGAACACTTGCTGAACCAATTTAATGTTACCACTTATTTTGCAAAGTGACCAAAACAAGTCTGCTGTTCTGGGATTCAGCCAGTATTTACTTAAAAAAAGATCTGAAAAATGTCTACAAAAAGAATAGATCAAATAATGATTGTCACACGTTTTAAGTTTATTTAATCACAGAAGAGCCATGAGGGCTATTTGCCTAATGGGAAGAATGCCTTTGTGGAGGACTTTCTAAGGGAAACTACTGACTCGCATACATGTTACAAATGGGAAAAACCACGAGGTGTTCAGTGATTTCTCCCCTCAGCCGCTGGTGGCTAATTCTCACAAGAATGACTATCTAGTTTCAGACTTTGCCGCCCTCCTTGGTGTACCTGTTAGCAATGCTGGCTGCAGTTTGATTCAGCCCCAGTTCAAATCCTGGAAAAGGCATAGATATTTACAAGTATATGGTGCTTGTGCAGCATGAAGGCACTTAAAATACTAGTGAGCCTTAGGTCCTCTCAAGTAATTTAGTGGCAGGGAAAGAGAGGTGGGAAGCCCTCAGTTTCATTCTCCAGATGCTCTACTTCAAAACTGCAAAGTTAATGCAGTGGGACTACACCTGTATGACAATGAGTGAAATTCTCAGTGTCCTACTCACTTCTGCCAATACTTCTCTCCAGGTTCTTGATGCTGCAATTGATAAAAGTCATTCAAAGATGATTAACACATAGAAATCAACAACTACCAATAAATTTGAATAAGTGAATACAGTGAAATGAGAATCAAAGCGTTGCAAAACCTAGGCTGGAAAAGACTGAGCTCTAGTGCTAGATCTGAGAGATTAAGGACAATGGTTTTGCAGGAAATGGAGTCGGAAGAAATTCAGGCCAGAATTTGGGGTTCGGAACTTTATGGCAAGTTTCATGAAAGGATGATAAGACAGTGCACCTCAATAAATTTAAGATTTTCTAAGAGAGTGTATGATTACGTGCAGATTCTTGTAGATGAACATGTAAACAAATGCTGATTATTATTAATGAATTTAAAAAATATGATATGCCCTAATACAACTTTTAGAGCAAAAATTAATATAAGATGCAGTCATTTTTAGGAAAACATGGTCGATCATTAATGCATACAAGAAAACAAAATAGTTATGTAATATATATCAGGAGACAGTTTTAATATAATTATATAAGAGTTCACAGAGAATGAATGAAGTATGTATGCAGTATACAGGATATCAAATAAAGCAAACTAAAACATACTTTATTGAAACTTTTTATATATTTTGTGGGGATAACACCTTTTCTCACCTCTTTCTTCCTTTTTAAATTTTTCAAAATCTTTTTAAAGAACATTCTACATACTTCCCTGATATTTGAAGTCCCTCCTTTTTAAGCGCAGATTTATTATACTTTCTTTTAAAAGGAATTTAAAACTATTTTAAAGAATTCTATTTTTTAAAAAAATCAACATTAAAAAAATAACAGAAACATTGTGATTAAAATGCACAATCAATAAAGTATGTTTTATAATCCTAACAAAGTCACCACATGGTTCATTTCCTGATAAATTTTTAAAAATCTACTGTTAACTTAAATTAGAAATATGTCAAATGACAAATGACAGCAACATGTTGAAATCTAATATTTGATTTCAAATGCAAAAGTACTTATATGATTTCTATTAAATCTTCTATTTAGATATAATTTTAGAGATGAAATCAAATTACAGAAAAAAAATTTAAGCCATTTTAGAAAAGATTCAATTTTCTATAAAAAATGTATGTTAGAACAATGTGATATAGTATAAATCTTGCATACATCCCAAAACACACTTTTGAGATATAAAAAAAGTTGAATTTTGTTTGATCAGCAGTTAAATGAAGGATACATAACTCTATTTTTCTACACGGTGTGCAAGGACTATACAGTAGGGTAAATGATTTCGATGCTATCATAAAAATATTCTAGTAAAAGTCCTCAAACATAAGGTTTCTGTGTAAGATTAGGTTCCACCTATCACAATTTCCCATCATAACTAGATGAAGGTACATGGATCAGATCCATAATTTTCTAGTGCAAGACTTCAAAAAAGTCAAATGTGTCATACCTTTACTAGATTCAATGAAAGCGGCAGTCACTGAGTATACATAACAAATGCTCATTATAGGACATTCTTATTAGTTATATAACTGTTTTAGACTTCAATAGAACCATTTTAGCAGCATCTTTCATGTTCTATACCTTCAGATGTATTTTTCAGTTTTATTGATAATGATTTTGCATCTTTAGATCCTTCCTTTGATTTTGTCTTATGGAATTTACAGGTTATGTATTTAAAACCCTATACACAAGGAAAAAACCTGATTTGGTCAACTCATGACCTACTCTGCCAATTTCATGTTAAGGCATGGAAGTGGCAGAATAACTATGAGCTTTACATAAATTATTATTTCCAGTTAATCGTTTGTAAATAAAATCTAATTTGTTTATATAATTTATGGTTCTATGTTAATTACAAACACTACTTGTTTTTTATTATTCTGTTCTATTTAGTGGTCAGTGATAATAACAAAACATGTACACATCAGTTACGCTTTGATTTGAAAACACTGCATCAGTCATGGTACATCCTTTGGTCATATAGTGCTTCAGATAAACAAATCAGTGATTTAAGAATCACAAAATTTTTAAAAGCAGCATATCTTTAAAATCCCAGATACAGTGTTATAGGTTACCACACATTTCATTTTAAATTCACTATTGTGACTTTTGAGTGATGGAAAAAATAACATAAAAGAAAGATAAAACTAAAGGGGAAAATACATACCAGCAGAATAAATAAGATGATAATATTTACATTAACACAATTCCATTAATGAAAGCAACTGAAGAATTTACACATTCTATGAGCTGAAAAATTTTACAGCCAACAGCCATTTACCAGACCTGGCCCCATCTTACTTCCATTTGTTTTGTTTATTCTAGCATTATTTGGCTAATGCTCAATTACTATAAAATATATGAAGAACATGGGAAAATTCTTAAAGAATTAAATGATATAAATTACTATCATTCATCAAGAAAGGATTCTCCAGATGCATTATGTATAGAGTAAACCCATAAAAAATGATACATATTATTTTAAAAATTACAATGCATTTTGGTGTTTCATAAATAAACATCAATTAAGGGAAAAGACCATAAGTTTGTTTATACACATAATACAATATTTTCATATTTTTAAAATCCAGATTTGAAAATTAGTAGATTAAAAAAACTCACCTCCATTTGCAATAGTTTTTCGATGCACATGTAAACACTCATCATGCGGTAATACAAGAGCAGCACCTTTTACTGCAAAATAGCATTCACTAATACTGGAAAAAAAAAAAAAAAAATTCTATTATGAAAATACTATTTTCACATGTTAGAGAAACACAATACTTTAAATTTATAATTATTCTTTTAATACTAATTAATAGTTAATTGTAAATAATTAACACTAATTTTAAGGAAAAATTATCTACTCTTTTCTAAAATCAAGGAAAATAAAAAGCTAAGTCTTGCTTACTTTTAAATTTTGTTTTTATTTTATTATTTTAAAATATAATGAAATGAAAATTTTTAGTTATTTAAATGCCCTTATACTGTTTGCTATTTTTCAACAGAATTTGCAAACATTTCCAAGAGTAAATAATGGGCATAAAATTAGTACATAATACATACTAAAATACAACATTAATTATTAGCTATAATACAAAAATAATTATTAGTTTAAAAATTCCCTTTCTACTAAAATAATTGATAGAAAATTCTTATTTCAATTTAGTTCATGATAAAAAAAAATTATATATAAAATCACTTGCAGCAGTTTCCAGCTACAAACTGATAACATACATTTAGGATAAAAAATCGTCAAGACTAATGATTTCAGTTCTGGCATGCAGTAAGCACATTAAAGTGACTACATACAAATAAAAAAGTTTACTTTAATAATTAGAATAATTGCACATATCAGCTTATTTTGCAAAAATTTAATCAGAAAATTAAAACAAATAAATGAGCAAAATAAACAATAAATAGCTGGATAATACACTGCACAATAAAAGATTTAAGTTGCTTTTTCAATATTTTAATAAAATAAATAATTTTCTCTCTTTCTTATTTTAAAAAAAAAGTTTTGTGACCAGAAAATTCCTCTGCTGATCCTACATTGTTTATGCAGTTTTTATATGTACACTTACCAATTACTTTATATCCCACATTTATAATAACTGTACAGTAAATTTGCAAATTATTTTATTAAACAAACTGATAATTACAAATACAAGGACATAATAGTTAAGCTGTTTATTTTATTTTTTATTTAAACCAAAAGCGTCTGAATTTATTAACTTACTGTTACCATAATCTTCAAAATTTATTTATAAAAAATCAATTGAAACTATCAGTTACAAGAGGACTGTAAAAGTTAGTAGTATTACAAAAGGAGAATATTCATGCTCCCACCAAAATTCAATTTTTAATTTCCATGTTATCTTTGATTTTCCATGACCAAATTCAATAATTGTCAAATTAGGTAGGAGTTACTAATAATTTTATACATTTAACTCCAACCTCCACCCATTCCTTCAAAGGAAGAAGGAAAGGGAGAAGTCTCATTTATCTTACTCACTACTGTAGGAATCCAGAAAGAGTAAATGAGACAGCACCCATAACTCAAGTGTGCAGACTAAAGTTACAATAGGAAGTCGTGAACATGGATGTTATCTGTCCCATTAATCCACCATCGGGTCCAAGGGCATAAATATGTATGTGTTATGCGTTATGGATCAGCATACACAATAGCCTAAAGCTATACTCATGATTTTTTTTAGTGCCAGATCCAGCACTGCTACAAATATTTTCTAAGAAAGGAATACCAAACATAGTAGCAAGTGACCAGAGAACCAATTTTACTTACTGCCTTAAGAATTTCTTAGAAGAATTAACACATCACCGAGATTCTCATGCCCAGGTTAAACAAAATATTTAGTTCATATTATTGGATCAGGAAAGCACTAGACAGATTCAGAGAAAATTCAAGCTATAAAAAAAACTTTTGCGACCATAAACGAAGAAAGAATTTAGAAGTTTATTAGGACTTTGCAATTATTATAGGGAACATATTCCACATTATGCAGAGATCGTGTACCCACTTGCAGAATTAATCAGAAAGGGAGTTGCTGAACAACTTCCTTGGACTGCGATTCATGATGAGGCATTTCTAGAATTGAAGAAATCGTTAGTGAAGGCTACTTATCTATATACACTCAAGCTTGGAGAACCCTTCATGATACAGTCAGATGCTTTATTGATGGGCATTGATGCTTGTTTATTGCAATGTAAAGAACGAAACTTGTGTTCTATTAGCTGTGCAAGCCAAAAATTAATGAAACTTCAGGTCGCATGGACAACAATAGAGAGACAGAAGCACTCACAGTGATAAGGGGTTTGAAGAAATTCAAGCCTTGGATCTTTGGTTCACATAGTGAATTGATCACTGACCATAATCCTCTTGCATTTATCACTAAGAATGCTCCTCAGTCAAGCTATAATACTGGGCATTAGCACTCTAAAAGTCCAACATAACTATTTCGCATTGCCCAGGAACAAAGCTTAATAATATTGATGCTTTGTCTCAATTACTTCTACAGGACTGATGTACTATAATACTGATTATATGTGCCACCATGGTGTGATTCTAAGTAATGTCAATTTTGAATTAAGTGGTTTTATATTGGACTAGGTGGACACTTTATGTGACTTGAACAAAATAAGTGACTTTATATTTGAGTAAAAACATTAAACGAAGACTTGACACCATGATAAAACGACATACCTTTAATTATTCTTATTATAATGAATAACCATATTTATCTTTTATATTTTAAATGTTCAATGGAGATAAGATTTTTTATCAAACATGTTTATTGTGCTAATTGTATTTTAATTGAATTTTAATATGTTACACTTTGATAATTTATGTTTAGATATTTTATGCTGAGATGCATTAGTGATATGATATATTATTTACTACATGACATTACTATGATTCTTATAAATTATTAGAGACAATTTTTCTTTCTTTTTGTGTACTTTTGCACAAATAATAATGATTAATTTAGATGAATGCAATGATCAAGATGGAAATTGTATTTGAAATGCATTGATGAGATTTATGTTGTATGATTCAGAAGTTCCTGGACTGATTCTATAATGTAACATTTTTTGCAGTAGTGCAACTACGAGAACATTTTTGTGTTACTACTTCTCCCTCTTATATAAAAATGGTTTGTCCCAAATCACGTGGTCGAGAGCTCGCGGCGACAGTGTTTTTTGTAGGCAAGTGCATCTAGTAATTGCCAATAGAAAGAAATGGCATCGGTTGAGCAGAGAACCAATATCAAATTTTGTGTTCGCTTGGGAAAGAAAGCTATGGTGAATTTTGAAAAGTTGAAGCATGTGTACAGAAGTGAAATGTTATCGAGAGCGCAAGCTTTTGAGTGCCATCTTCATTTCAGAGCAGGCAAGAAAAGTGCCAAGACGACGAACACTGTGGCCGTCCTGTGACTTTGGGCACCGGTGAAAACATAAAAAAGGTGTCTGTGGCATTACGTGCGAACAGGCAGCAAACAATCTGTCAAATAGGCAGAATCAGTTGGGATATCAGAGGCCACATTTCAGCAAATACTGACTAAGGATTTTAACATGCATATGGTGTGTAAACACATCATCCCCCCACATGTTAAACATAGACCAAAAGGAAATTTGAATGGAAATGGCGGGAGACTTAATCTCAGTTGTTGACAAAGATCCTTCCTTACTTGGCAGAATTGTTACTGGAGACTAGAAATGGTGTTTTTTGTACGACCCACAAACCAAGAGAGCATCAGCAATGTGGAAATCACCACAATCTCCACAGAAACAGAAATTTCGCCAAGATCGCTCTAAAGGAAAGGTCATGCTAGAGGTATTCTTGGATATCCAGGGCATTGTGCATCTGGAATTTATCCCTGAAAGGACGCACTGTGAACAAAGAACTCATGTCGAAATCTTGCATCATTTGTGTGAGTTGATCTGGAAGAAGAGACCAAAAATGTGGGCTGAGGAGTCATGGGTGCTGTTGCATGACGATGCTCCTGCTCACCAATCTCTACTCATCAATGACTTTCTTGCGAAAATGAAAACAACTGTTTTGCTTCATTCTCCTTACTCACCTGATCTCAAACCCTGCAATTTCTTCCTATTTCCTGAACTAGAAAGACACTTGCAGGGTTATCGATTTCAGTCTTCAGATGAAATTAAATGTGCATCGCAGGCTGAATTAAAGGAAACCCAGAGCCAGGCCAAAAATGAATTCCAGATATGCTTCGATGAACTTTATAGGCGCTGGCAAAAGTTTGTTGTTGCACAAGTGTCTTATTTCGAAGGAGGATGTGTTTCTGCAATTTAATTCATAATATTTTTTACGTTATAGACTCAGACAGGAACTTTTGAATCCTACCAAATATACAAATTGGTAATAGAAATGTTTCAATATAACAGACAGTCATTAGATACAATCTTGGGTTTACACCCCAATCACAATCTTAAGTGGGGGTGTAATATCTGATACACCCTTCTCTCTTGTGATCCAGGAAAAAGCTACACTGTTCCCTCTGGCAACTGATCACCTCAGGGGATGATTTAATGAGGATTTGGACAGTGATTGGATGACAGCACGATTACTGTAGGCATGCACTCATCAAAATTATATTCCAGAGCTGCACAGTATCCTACAGACATGCACCACTGTCATTTACGACAGACATTTCAAGATTCATTATATAAATATATATATGTACCTATGTAAATATAAAATTAGATACTTCTTATTCCTAAATAAATAAATAATTTGTGAACAAGAAGTGCCATCTTGGAATATCGACTGTTGATGACAACAACAGAAAGAGCAGAACCCATTACATTGATATATAAGAAAGAGATAAAATATATTCAAAAATGTTTGTTTGAGCAACCTATAATCAAATAAATGCAGTACATAAAAATCTATTAAAGGATTCCATGAGTAAATGATGATTTGAATATGTGATTACACTTCAAAATAAAACATATTAATAACATATAAAGCTAATTTCGAATGTTTCTTTGTAAACTAATGATATATTTACTCCTCAAAAAATATATGCTAAAAATTTGAATATTATTTCCATACAATTTCTAGATGAATTGCAAAATCTACTTAAGAGTTGAAAAAACTAAATTTTCCTCAGATTTAATCATTCCCTACAGTAAAACATAATTGAAGGATAAATTAAGAGACAACAGTTAGTCTTATTTACATTTAAATTAGAATTTTTATGAATTCACAATTATTTTATAAATGCTTCAGATATTATTGGGAAAATAGCATATTAAATTGCTTTCGAAATTATGAGTATATAAAGAAAACTCACAAAATATAAAATTTTGGATAAAAAAGTATCTCTCTTAAATCTCATGCATATTTACTTACCCCTTTTTTTCTTCCTTTTTCTCATCTCCTTCTTTATTATTGCATTGATCAATTTCATCCTAAATGAAATAAATGAGGAATATCATTATATAAAGAAAACAATTGCACAAATCAGTAGAGATTATTAATAACACCCCATTCTTTTATAGTTAACAATACATTTATTATCAAAACTATTAAATACCTTATCAAAACTATTAATACTATATCCTATATATATAAGTTCTAATACATAATATAGTTTAAGTGATTTTTCAGTTACAATAGCACAACCTTTATTTACCTCAAATAACACATCTTCTCGAAATTCATTTACATTATCAGCCACAATACATGATGATAATGATTGCAAAATCTTAGCACATAATTAATATTTCCCAAGATTTGTAGAATTTTATAATTAATGAATATCATTTTAATTTACATAAATTTTTGCGCAAGCTTGTATATTTTTGCTATGTAATACAGTCAAAAGTCGTTAATCCGGACTCGTTGGGACTTCGGCAATTCCAGATTATCGATATTTCCGGATTATAGATCATCAGTTTAAATCTGGTAAGATGCCATGCAGAAATTATAAAATTAAAAATATGAAACCGTAATTTATGAAATAAAGAACAATTATGATCTAAAGGGTATCAAAACTTACAAAAAAAAGCTTAATATTTATTTGTTTACTTTATTAAACATTTCTTTCAATGTAAGTTGTTTAAGTTGCTTCGTTTTATGTCATAATACTTTCTCTTTAATTCTATAAACAGACATAATTTCTTGTTCCGTTACAAAGTTCCGCTGTTCAAGTCCTATAATTGCAGTGTCCAGAAATACAGACTAATTTGTCAATCGAAATTTTTTCGTTTTCAATAACCTCTGTGTCACTTTCTTCACTATCAGAAGCGAATTATAATGACGAGGAATTTGATTTAAATCATATCAAAGACGGAGTACATCGAGATAAAGTACTACATTTAGTAAGGAATTATAAGCCAAAAAAATAAAACATCTGTCCTGAAGATAACGATAGTGCTGACAGATCAACTTCCGATTCACTGCGCGCCGTGGTTCTTCCCCTTCCCGTCCCCCGCTGCAGAGCAGCGTGAAATTGATAAGCAGATTTCGGAATGGTTAAAGAGAAACAAAGGTTATGCCTTTATCCATTTTTTGCAGCAATTCTACTTTTTGTTTAATGGACTTCAAAACATACTTTCGCTTTGTAGATCCTTTACATATTAGTAAATATATATCGGAAATTCTATTTGACATAATCGAAAGTTCAAGCTTACTTTTATAAAATTGCTCTAACAGTCTGCAAAAAATAATAAGCGAGATCCAATTCGAAGATTAAGGAACAATGCAATCTGCAACATTAACTGAATTAGATAATTTTAGCTTAGCTTATACCATCCGTTATACATTAAACGCGCATGTGTAAACGTATTATGCGCATGCGCACACGCATATTCGCAACCATAAAGTGCTGACGCATGCGCAGAAAGTTTGTAGCTTTGAGATACGGATTATGGGTGTCCGAATTAATGACTTTTAACTGTATTATTTACTTATTTCAAGTTTTTATTTATGTATTCATTAAGTGCATTCTACTGTAATTTTATCTTTATTGTAATATATAATAAGTAATTTTAACCTTATAGTCAATTATTGTGTCTGTATGTGCTTAACTGATTTACTATTTTGTAGGGCAGATGTTAGCACTATAGTTTAAGGAGAAATGGAGGTATAGACTAGCCACAAGCCTCAACGGCAAATTTTTATCACCTATTTGACAATATTTGGAGATTTCTCATCAACATCAATGTTCAGAAAACATGCTTTGCAACATTTTAGGATTGATTTTTCTAGAAGAATCAGACAATGCTGTTCCATAATTTTTGTTATAGTTTAAATAAGAGGCTGTTAGAAATTATGAATCAGTTCTGAGTTTATCTGCTTTGACGAACATGTTACACAGTTTAAAAACAACACAGTGACACATTTTTAAGCGATTTATATTATTAAACTTTGCACAAATAAACATAATATATAGCTACTAGTTTAAAACACATACTTTTAAATAACTTATAAACTCTAATGAGTGTTTACAACTTTAAAGCTGTGAATTTTGGACCACATTTATTCCAAATTTTTAGAACCAAACTAGTGATTCGCATTCTTGCGTTAATAAGAATTTAGAACACTCGCTTTAAAATCGAAATATTGAAAACATATATTTATACAAAAAGCAACTTTGATATGAACTCTATTAAGTTTTATGAATTTTTAAAAGAGATAGTTCATTTATTAACAAAAACTTCAGTCTTGTGAAAAGCATCACAATTAAATTTTCAGCAAGATGTAATTAGTTAAAATCATATGCATATTTTGATATTTAGTAATAAATGCTATAAATCTCTTTTAGTGAAATAAATAACTGTAACATTTTCTTAATGGAAAAATTTGTGATTTATCCTTTATTTCTCGGGGAGAGGAATAATTACTCAAATCATGAATGATTTTTGCTCCTACATATATATTTTTCTCTAATTCGGCCTTTGATATAACAAAAGGCACCCCAAGTCTTACTATTTAAGGCACAATATTCTCACAATCTGTATTTGAATCAAATTCAGTGGTGTAGCTAGGGTGGGGCAAGAGGGGACATCTGTCCCCAGGCGCAGCATCCAAGGGGTGCCAAATTGATGCTACGAAATTTTTTAATGAAATGTTTTCCATTCTTGGCACACAGAAAGGGGCGCAAGTTTTCAGTTCCCCAAGCGCTGGAAACTCTAGCTAAGCCCCTGATCATATTCAATTGAATACATCACATTATGATTTCTTAGTATTATTAACCACCACATTATGCCACATGCCTTAAGGCCAGATATGTTACAGCTTTTACAAGGTAAAAGCTGCAATGTATCAGGCCTTTAGGGTCTCTGACCTTTATCGGTCTTAATGGTGCTTAACATGTAGAAATATCATGTTTTACTAATTCAGAAGTCAAACAACAAAAATCAGCGTTATACCTACAAAATTTTCACAGGACTAGTTTCGATGGTTTTACCGAACCATCATCTTCAGCTGCAAAACCGCAAATGAAAAAGATAGGAAATAATGATTAGATAAGATAAGAAAGCCTGGACAAGAATAAGCAAGTGGCGCCATCTGTTGGCGAAACCAGAACTAAAACATAATTTCTCTAAAAGCCGAAGGCAAATTTGGATTGGAATTAGGATCGTTAACTAGAACAGAAAGATTTTTATATGAATGTGAAATGCCTCTAGAAAATCCAGTTCTCCAATGGAAGATGTTTTTTTGAATAATTTTTGGCAGCAGAAAAAATTGAAAGTGTGATTTTCGGACCAACAATGTTGAGCAACAGAAGACTTCTGTGTTTCCTTTTTTCTAACATATGCCTCATGTTCTTTGACGCGAAATTTTAAGGCTCTCTTAGTTTGGCCAATGTAAATTAAACCACACTGGCAAGGAATCCTATAAATATACCCCAGGAATTCATATCCGGAATGGGGTCCTTGAGTATAGAAGTTGGAATTTTTATTGATGGGAGAGTAAACAACCCGAAAGTTAAATTTCTGCAAAATATGTGCAACTTTATAACTAATTGATGGAAAGAAGGGAATGACAACAGAATTTTTATAATCTCCTAAAATAAGAGTGTGGCTTTTAGTGTGTTCAGATGAGAATTTTTTAACTGCTTGATTAATAATGTTGGGTGAAAAGGCCCCTGTCAATAGCTATTGCTTTTAAATAATTTAGTTCTTCTTCAAGGGCTAGTTTGGAGGAGCAAACTTGAAGAGCACGGAAAACATAGGAATAAAATGAAGCTAACTTTTGTTTAGTCGGATGACATGATTTAAAGTGTGGTGGAAGGCAAACCGATGAAGGTTTACGGTAAACTGTAGTACTGAAGTTGGATGTGTTACGTGTGACCAGAATGTCGAGAAACGGAAGAGAATTGCAAGTCTCAAGTTCAAAAGTGAACTGAATAGCAGGATCAATAGAATTCATTGTTGAAAGAACTTTATTTAAATCATCTTTATTACCTTCAAACAGGGTAAAAGTATCGTCTACGTAGCGGAACCATGCCGGGAAGTTTAAAGTTTCAAACAATTTTGATTCATAATAATGCATGTAGATATCAGCCAGGATGGGACTGAGGGGCTTCCCATGGCTAATCCCTCAGTTTGTTTGTAATATTTATTTTGGAAAACAAAATGTGTTTGTTTCAAACAGAGTTGAGTGAGAGAAATTAGCTCCTCAATTTCGATGCAAGAGAAATGAAATTCGCGAAGTCTGGTTTCTAGACATCTTAATGCACCCTCCACTGGGGACATTGGTGAATAATGATTTTACATCAAAAAAACCATGAGTAAATTACTAGGAGAATGTTTTTAAAAACCTTTTTAACAAACTCTATTGAATTTTTTATGGTGTAAATGTTATTGTCTAATAGAGTGGAAAATCTAGAAACTAAATATTTAGCTAATGGATACGAGGCAGTACCTAAATTTGATACAATAGGGTGGAAAGGAATACCACTTTTATGAATTTTGGGAAGAGCATATAATCTGGCACAATTCGCAACAGATGGGATAAGCGAATGTTTTAAGTTGCTTGAAATGATTTGCGAAGATTTGATCGCAGTTTTTATTTTGGATAAGTCCGAAGGTGAAGGATCTTTAGGGATTGGATTATATGGTCCTTCGTTTAAGAGTTTAGTGACACCATCGATGTAAGTGTTCTTATCCATGACGACTATCTGGCCACCTTTGTCGGCCTTTGAAATGATAATATATCGGGTTAGAATGAAATTTCGCGCATTGTAGCTCTTTCTTCTCTCGCAGTTAGATTTGGTTTCAAAGGTTTATTATTGAATTTCACATTATGAGCGATAAGATGCCTAATCATTTCTTTCTGTGAATCTGAAACTTTACTTTACTGAACTTGAAAGCTTTTTCGATAGGAGCCAAAATCTTTGGAATCGAGGGTTTACAGGTTTGTGAGAAGTTAAATTATATTTTAGAATTCTCTCTTGTTCTTC